CCTAGCTCTACGAGAGCAAATTTCACAAGTGGTCCGGCCTTTAACAGGCCGGAACCGATGGAGCTCAGCTATGCTGAAGATGAAGGTGAAGTTGAACTTCAAGCTGCTGAGCAGCAAAGCGTCGTACGACGATGTCTTACGTGCGGAAGCACTAAGCACTTGCGGCCTGCTTGCCTTTTGCGTGAACAGCGTCAGGCACAAACCAACACTCCACCCCGATCCAGAAGTCTGGCATGGCACGGGGAATTGCCGACGCCCAGTAGGCGGGGGCGCCCTACTGGGGAAAAACTGGGTTCTGTTACACATTTTGAAGGCACAGTCAAATCTATTTTAACTGCAAAGATCTCTTTACCTATTGGAATGGAGCGTGGATTCAAGTCTGGATAGTTAATCGCCGAGGCGAAAATTAAGGGCTTTGAGAGGCCTTGGTTGATATTGACCCACTCTGGAGCGTCTTGCAATTATGCTCAACGCCGTTCCCTTGACAAAGTCAGATTTATGCTGAAGCGCTTACAGCGAATGAGGGTGATTTTATTACGGTTCGTTCAGCGCCTGGAATTCGTGTTACTGTGCCTAAAGTTCAATTGAACTTAGGTATACAGTTTTAAACTTTGACAGAATTCAACGCTGTCTTGTCCTTGATTTGGACTTGAGGTATAATCTCATCCTTGGTATGGCTTGGCTTGAACTTCATGAGCCATTAATTGATTGGAGGTCTAAGATCTTAGGCGCCACGCGCAACGTTACTAGTGAAGTTTTGGATATTCATTAAGCCACCTTCGCTAGGCAACAGAAGCACTACTGGCGAGAGCATTTGACAAAAGATGTCACTATGTTGGACATTGGGTTGTCTGAGTTGTCTCTCTCCAATGTTACAAACATAGATTCAGAGCGTAGCTCGTTCGATATCGTTAATACGGCACTCACTCTGTTGATTGTTACTCATTGTGATTACGAATCACTGATGCTAAAAGCATGGATAGCCTAGGGCCGGATTATCAAGGCTGTGATCCCTTTGACGTGTGTGAGGTTGCACGTGAAATTTACCGAGTGTGGGCGGCCGTGAGGGCACCGAACTTAAGGTCGGTAATAACATTGTTGGAGAAACCCCGTTCAGTTCGGGGCTCGGCCCGCATAGTGTACGTGGAATGGCACGTGGAAATCCGCTGGGTGAAGTATTCGGGTTGTGTAACGCTTCACCGGATGTCGGTCAAGACGTCGGCTCTCGTATACAGCGCACTACTATTAGTAGTAATAAAAGGAAAAGTAGTGTCCGACCCCTAAGGGGTGTAAGGTCTCCAAGAGGCGACTTGGACGTCAGGTGGTAGCTGTTAAGCGCAAGGCATCCACACAGCACTGGGTGATAATTGAATCCACTATAAAAGCTTGTGATAGGAGTGACCGGTCAGGTTGATGGCAGTGTTAGCCTTGAAACACCTCCATCTCTGAATGCTATGTGTGAGCTAAACGAAATGTCTGGTGGCGAGTTTGGCCAAGCCTTAAGGCAGTAGATTTATCCGAATTAGTGTTTTTTTAGACCCGATGTCGAGTTGAACTCGTCCTCAGTAATGGATGAGTCTGTCCTAGGAGACACAAAAGCGGCACTTAGTGCGCGAAGTGGATCTTCGATCCCTAAAGATCGTTTGGATCCATTTTATTCTTTGGTTAAGGAATCCTAAGATGTGGTGTCTCACAACTTACCGTCTGTCTTAGCACCTGATAGAAGTGTACGTCATGAAACTGACTTAGTCCTAGGAACTAAATACTGCGTAACACGGCAGCGGCCGTTGCCTAAGGAACATTGCGACGTCATTAAAGAGTTATTTCGTGCTAAGCACGCGACTATAAATGGTTCGTGAAAGTAAATCTTCCTATTCAACACCGAAATTTGTGTCAAGAAGCCGAGTGGCAAGTGGCGCATTGTGCATGCTTATAATAAGCTTAATTCAGCGACTGTACCGGCGAAGACGACTATTCCTAGAAAGGGTGTTCTTCAAAATTAAAGTGGTAGGGTGCACATTGTACAGCGCACTCGAATTAGTCGATGGTTATTACCAGCTGCTCATGCGAGCGAGTGATATTCCGCTAACTGCGGTGAGTACTCCGAGCGGTCCGCTCTGGTGATGGCTCGTTATACCACAAGGGCTGTCGAAAGCCCCGGCTACTTTTAACCTTCTGGTGACACAACTGTTCCGACCTAATCGTAGTTACGCACAGACGTACTTTGACGACATCTTTGTCCATAGTAGTGCAACGAATGGTCGATCAGATGTGGATAACTACATTGATCATTTACGAGCGGTGCTCGAGTGTATGCGCACGAATGAATTATACGCTAACGCGTCCAAGCGCATCCTTGGTGCAGAAGAGATTCCCTTTCTAGGGTGCTTTGTTGTGAAGCGAGGCCTTGGAGCGGACCCCGCTAAGGTAAGGGCCATAGTCGATTGGCCGGTTCCTAAAAACCAAAAGGACTTACGTAAGTGGCTTGGCCTTGCCATTTGCTTACATAAGTACAGTGCGAATTGCGCAGACATGGCTAGGACATTATCCAATCTTTTAAAAAAGATACAGATTGGTGTTGGGGTCATACCGAGCACGATGCTTTTAAAGCGGTTAAGGAGAGTCTCCTTCATGCGCCAATATTGGCTTTGCCCAATCCTGATCGGCTCTTCGGTGCCGTTTGTGACGTAGCTGACTTTGCCATTGGCAGTGGTCTGTTTCAAACAGATATTGATGGACGTGAGCGCGCCATTGTGTTTGAGTCTCGCCAGCTTAATGCTGGTGAAAAGAACTATCTAGTTCATGACAAATAACTACTTGCTATGAAGTATGCTATAGTAAAATTCGGATTTCATCTGCTTATCTCAAAGCCTTTTGTGGTCTATACACATCATGCGTCATTGCGCGCTGTGACACAGTAGCCGCATCTCTCTCAGAGAATGGATTGTTGGCTTTTTTTCCTTTGCCGAATATAACTTCGAGGTGAAATATAAGCCAGGAAAGCTAAATTATTTGGCTGATGCGCTATCACGCCTACCTGACTATAAGCTTGCTTTTGGTACGACACTGTCGTCATCAGATCCTGACTTAGTCCGTGCGGCATATGCCAAGGATGATCAGTGTGTAGCTCTGCTACGGGCTCTTAGGAGAGATGAGTTTAAATACCTAGACATAACATCAAAGGCACGTATACGTGCAAGGCTTCATCTTTGTTCTATCGAGAATGGCCTGTTGTGAGATAGCACGAATATTGAGGATACTTCTCGAATTGCTGTCCCTCATGATGAGGAGTTAAAGCATCGATTGCTCTATGAGGCACATGATACCGCTTTGAGTGGTCATCTCGGTCGTGATAAGACCTATGGCTCAGTGAACCAGGCTAATTGGTGGCCCAAGATGTATAAATGGGTGAGCATCTATGTGCGTACGTGCAAAACGTATCAACGAATCAAATCCTTAGCACATGCAGCTTCGCCGCTGGCTTGTCTGCTTGTACCCACTGGGTGCTGTGAATTCATGAGTATAAATTTTGTGTTTACCTGCCGAAAGATTTGGAAGGCAACACTAGTATTGTGGTTTGTGTTGACTGTTTGAGCAAGATAGTTCATTTAGCGGCTGTGCTGGAAACGATCGATGTTGAAGGCACAGCAAAGATGTCCATCGATCGTGTGTTTCGACAACATGGTTTGCCTGTGACAATTGTTTCTGATAGGGATCCCTGCTTCAGTGGGAAGTTCTGAAAGTCTATCTTTAAGGTGCTCGGCAACCGATTGGACATGTTCACGGCGGATCTTCCGCAGACCGATGGTCAAACTGGGCGTGTTAATCGCGTCATTAGTGACATTTTTCGCGATGTTTGCGCTGATACACCACGGCGTCGGAGCTCAATGCTTCCTGTTGTTAAATCTGCATTAAACAATGCTGTTTATGCCTCCACAGACTTTACTCCGTTTTACAAAGACGGTCTCAATCACCGTCGCGTTCCATTAACGCTATCACTACGTGAATCAGGGCTTGTTGGGGGAGAGGTTGCCGATCAGCTTGCTGATATCAGCCCTGCTACAGCTCAAAAACAGGTAGGCGAGTTTCTTGCAACGGGATTGAACGTATTACGACATGTGCGTGACGAAATGGCTGATAGCAAAGAATAACAAGACAGCAAGCTGATTCCAAAGGCAGAAATTGTATTGAAAGTTATGAGGTCGGAGACTAAGTATTACTCAATGCTAAAAACCTACCTACAAAGTAGAATCTGCTGTCTTCAAGACAAAGTTGCGTCCACGCTTCATTGTACCGTTTACGACCACCACCCAGAAGAAACTTGCGTATAAAGTTAAACTTCCACGCAAATTGTGTACACACCCAGCGTTCGACGTAGGCTAACTTAATCCGTACTGGAATTCTCCCCATGTGAACGCTGAGGCGCTGGCGCCGACGATGAGAACGGTGCCCCGGATTGCTTCAAGCGAATCAGCAAGTCCATCTGACAATCTGGAGCTATTTTAAGCAAAGATCTCATACAATCTATGCGACGAAAGTATGCTATTTATCTCGATCCAAATCCTCGCTTCGAGTTTGAGCATAATCCATCGCCTGAAGACGGATCTGCGTTGCATCCAGCATGCATTGGTCTTCCCTGAGGTCGCTTGAAGACCCTTCACTTCGAAAACAAACTTTTCGTGGACTACCACAGGTACACTGGCCGCCATCGACGCTTCTCGATGAGCATGGTGTCGTCAGTTCATGTCGAGAGACTACTGGAACGACGTCGTCGATATGGACACTACCAGTATCTGTTGAATGAAGATTTGCACATGGGCAAGGACGGGCCGAGATACGACTGACGACACTGCCTGTCTTTTCTGACTGGTCAACCTGGGTGTTGCACTGCAACCAACCGATTGATTGGTGAGGAAGTTTACAAGTTTGAACAGTTTACTGGTAGGCTAAAACGTAATAACAGAATCCTTTTTACTATCGAGCATTAATTTGAACAGGTTATGAGCCCAAATGACAGCTCCTACGACGCGGCACAGGCGCCGCCAATCACAGGTCGCGAAAGGACCGTGACGCCGCCTGCCGAAGTCGTCGACCCGCCAACCCACGAAAGGGGCACAAACGTGAACGAGAGGATCCTTAAGATGCTCATGGGACTCGAAGGTCGCATGGAGCGCATAAAAGTGTCCCAGATGCAGATGGACGAGAACGAGCGACTTCGAGGTGCAATCGAGAGTGGACTCTTCAGCTCTCTGCTTGGCCGCAACATGGGCAACGCTGGACCGATGCACCTGGACGCTCTTGGCAACTCGCCGCCGAGACGACAAGCTGTGTATCAAGCGCATGAACAGCCAAGGCAGCACTCGAGAGTGTCACCGGCTCAAGGCGCCCACGTTGAACCGCTCGGATCGCAGTATGCGGCGCCGGACTTACGGCAAGGCTACCCACCGCAACAGATGCCTCAACAAGCTCAGCAAGTGCCATGCCCTACCGCGTGCCGGACGCACGTCAACGAAAGCTGGCGATCAGGAAGTTTGACGGTAGTGAGCTATACCATGGACTTGGCTCCGGTTTTCTTGATTGGGGGAGAACATTTCTCCGGCAAGTTACAATGGCCCAGCATGCGTGCGGATTCGCATGGTCCGAGGAAGTTAAAGCTGACTTACTTGGACACTACTTGAGCGGAACCGCGGAGCGCTATTATAACAAGCAGCTGGAGTTGTGGTGGACACAACTACCGACGCTGGATCATGTCATGGAAAGGGTCCATCAGACTTTTAAGACCACAATCACGGCTTCGCAGTCAATCCAGCTCTTCACGGCGCGTAAAGACCCCAAGAGAAGTTGGCCGGAGCATTACCTTTACTTGGTTGCTGTCAGCGACGCGTGTGGTGGCGCGGACCAACAGGTGTTGGATAATATCGTGCATTATGCGTCGACGGAACTAAGTACGGTGCTTATGGCTAAGTACGATAACTCAAGAGTGGATTTTTTGCGTCAAGCTGAGGAGCTCGCCCACTTCGCGCAGTCTGTAGAGCTGGAGTCGCGTAAGGGCCGGGCTCTAGGACGAGATGTTGTTGCGCTCGTGGACGAGGTCTCAACAAAGAGGGAGACACGCACGTGCTTTGGGTGAGGAAAGGCCGGTCACATCAAGGCCAACTGTCGAAGCAAAGGCCGTAGTAGTTACGATGGTCGTCGTGGAAAACATGGCGCAGACCTCGTTTTGGCGATAAACGATCGTGGAATCAAGAAGAAGAACCCGCATTTTAGTTATGCTGGAAAAGATGCTAAGGACGAGCATGAAGAGTGGATCTTGGATAGTGGTTCAAGTCGTCACCTCGTGAAGGATGAGAGCCTGTTGCTGGATGCACAAGACTGCAACTATCAGTGCAGCATGGCGGATGGAGAAACACTATTTCTGTCAAGAGTCGGTAGCGTCCGTTTATGCGTTATGGCAGGTGGCAAGGAGCGGACGGTCAAGCTTACCGAAGCGTACCTTGCGACTGAACTCGAGCGCGACATTGTCTCATATGGAAAACTCGAGCTCAAGGGTTTTGGATTGGTGTACGATGGCGCGACGCGCTCGCTCGCCAATCGCAGTAATGGGGAAGTGGCTTTCGATTTGACTATGGAGAACAACGTACTTTACGTTAAGACTGTGGAAACTTCGCATTTAAGGAGCATGCCAAGTGATGTACTAATGGCAATACTGGCTGAAGAAGGAGCGACTGAGTCATCGTTGGGAGTGCAAAGCGGCACGCTCATGCATTTTCACCAGCGACTCGGACACCTTTCTTTCGACACGGTGGAACGAATGGCGAAGGATCCTGCGTCAGGGATCAAACTCACGGATCGGCGAAGACTCACGTGTTTGTCATGTGCTGAAGGGAAGCAGACGAAGAATTCTCAATCGCAAAAGGACACCGGCGTGAATGCACCAATCGACAGGATTGGTGGAGTTATCTGCTCGGATCTAAAGGGACCTATGACGCCCAAGAACCGACATGGAAACAGATATCTCGTGAATTTTATCGATCACAAGTCGAATTACTGCCGCGTGTTTCTGGCCCCAACTAAGGATCAAGCAGCGAAGAAGTTTGAACACTTTTTGGTGTTTTTTAAAAAGCGATTTAATTGTCGTATTCACGTGCTACGTACGGACGGCGGCGGGGAGTACCAGAATGTGGACTTATTCTGCAAGCGCACTGGAGTAGCCCGTCAAGTCGCAGAGTCAAGAAATCAATCTTCGAACGGCAAGGCGGAGCGGATGCATCGGACCGTTCTCAATATGGATCGGTCCATGATCTTTGCAAGCCGCCTGCCCTTGACATTTTGGGGAGACGCCGTCGAATACGCGGCGTACATCTTAAACAGGAGTCCTACAAGCGCAAACCTGCGACGCGCGTCGCCAATACAGGTTCTCACGAAGGTTGTCCCCGACTTACGCAACATAGTGGTATTCGGCTCAAGTTGCACGGTCTATCGAGACCCTCGCAAGAACTCGCTCGCACAACGAGCACAAGTTGGCATTATCGTCGGGAGGAGCGACGAAACTAAGGGCTATCGAGTTTTTTTGCAAAAGGATAACATCGTAGTCGTCACGCAGCATGTGAAAAACATTGCGACGCTCAGTGACGAGCAAAATGAACAGCTTCAGCGCGCACTGGAATACGAAGATCAAGCCGGAACAGCTGTTTCCAGGAGTGCAGAATCGTCTGCGTTGTCGATGGCGTCACTAGCGATCTCATCAAAGCTAAAGAAGAAAGGGAAATTGACCGTGCGTAGCGGACGATCGAAGAAGAAGTCATGGACCCGCTCGTCACACGGCACGCGTGGTGCGTCGAAGCGAGCTCAGGAATTCGCGGGTCAAGAGGAGCCAGCGAGTAATACGAGCATCGTAAACCATGTGTACGAGCGTGATCCGAAGAACTACGGCGAAGCAATGCGAAGTTCTAAAAGCGAGGACTGGAAGAAGGCGATGTGTGAAGAATTGGAAGCGCTCGAGAACAACGACGTTTGGCATCTTATCAAGCGTCCGAGCAGCAGCAATGCACTCCACACGAAGTGGGTGTACAAGACAAAGATGACTGCTGATGGGGATGTCGAACGCCTTAAAGCGCGACTTGTGGCGTGCGGCAATGAGCAAGTGTTTGGAGCTGACTATGTCCTCACATTTGCTGCCGTGATGGACATGTCTACGGTGAAGATAATATTGGCTCTTGCAGTTACGTGGGGAGTCGTCGCAAAGCATGGCGACATCCCTAACGCCTACGTAAAGGCTGACAAAGAGGCTGATTTGGAGATACTTTTACAAGTACCAAGAGGAATGGACGTGAGCAGTGATACTATCAAGTCACTGGGAGCATCGAGCGTGAGTGAACTGGCGTTACAGCTTCGCAAGAGTTTGTACGGCCTTAAACAGGCCGGGAGGCTCTGGAGCCAATTACTACATGCACGGCTTATTGACGTTGGTTTCCAGCAGTGCGTGTCGGATATGTGTTTATACCGGAAGAAGGATGGGAGAGACCTCGTGATTGTCGGGGTCTACGTTGATGACTTGCTAGCTACTGGTACGGACGCGGCAGCAGTCGATCGTTTCTTCGCGAGTCTAGGCAGTCTGTCTATCAAGGACCTAGGAGCAGTCAAGAAGTTCCTAGGAATGCGAGTGGAGGTTGACAATGACGGAGGATATATTATCGATCACGAAGTTGCAATTAACGACATCCTAAAAGATCATGGTCTCGAAGATGCAAACTCAACGCAGACCCCCATCGGTGCAGATTGTTACGAGATCCCGACGACAGACAGCGCTCTGCTTGTTAATGCAGAAGAAGGAGCTCCAAGCATTCGAAGCTTCCAATCGCTCGTCGGTAGTCTTCTCTGGGTGTCGAGATGTACGCGGCCAGATATGGCATTTGCCGTCCACAAGGTGACGCGCCCGACGAACCAGCCGCGAGTCCATGATTACAAGCTCGCGAAACGCATCGCGAGGTACTTAAAGGGTACCTGCAGCTTCAAGCTACGGATGACACCGGCGTCGAGCGCGCGCGAGACAGTGAACTTGGAGTCCTACTCAGACGCGGACTTCGCTGCTGATAAGCTGGACCGGAAGTCGTTGACGGGCGGGGTCATCTTCTTGAACGGCATGGCGGTGAGTTGGACGGCCAAGAAACAAGGCGGCGTCTCTCTATCCACCATGGAAGCCGAATTTGTTGCAGCTTCGGAGCAAACGCGCGAGTTACTTGGGATCCGAGAGATGCTGCGCGAAATTGGGATGCCACCCGGACTGCCGATGACGCTATACATCGATAATCAAGCCGCTATCAAGCAGCTGGATGGCGAGGCGTCTTCCTTGAAAGCCAAGCACATCGATGTGCGGCTCAAGTTTGTGCGGGACTACTCAAGACGCGAGATTATACAGGCGCAGTACGTCAGGTCTGAAGCCCAGGTTGCTGACTTAATGACGAAGGCCCTGGATGCGGCCAAGCTTGCGTCGCTGTGCGAGTTGATGAGCCTCGGTTAGAGGCAGGACTCGAGGAAAGAAGGGGATTGTGGTGGTGCCGCAGTCGAGGAGGAGTGTTGAAGGAAGATTTGCACATGGGCAAGGACGGGCCGAGATACGACTGACGACACTGCCTGTCTTTTCTGACTGGTCAACCTGGGTGTTGCACTGCAACCAACCGATTGATTGGTGAGGAAGTTTACAAGTTTGAACAGTTTACTGGTAGGCTAAAACGTAATAACAGAATCCTTTTTACTATCGAACATTAATTTCAACAGTATCTGGTAGAGTGGCGTGGGTATTCTGAGTCTGACAGCTTATGGGAATACGAGGTACCCTACAGCAAGATCGCCCTTATGCTTCGGATGTTTTTGAGCATCGTGGTCAAGGTCATCTAAAGGCTGATGCCGTTTCCCACGACTAGTGGTGTGGGTTAGCGGGTTGGTGGTCATAGTTTGACCAAAACTCGCGGCTACCGTAGTAGCCGAAGCATATCGCGTGGGATTACGCAATTGGCCTCTGGCCTCAGGCTTGGCATAGTCATACCGAAGCTTGCGTTCGAGACGCACATCAGCCACATTGGCACTAACTCTCAGAGCAGACATACTGCTGAGGCGACGTATGCGGTGCATTAAGCGGACGAAGACATTTTTACTTCGCTCTCTGCTATGCCTGCAGACAAGAGAATAGGTATACCCATAATCGGCGGGACCAGTGCACCACGTGCTTGCATATCAAGGCTTGTCTTGTATTGTCCTTGGGTCGTTAGGTGAGACTCCAGGTACCTTTCGCGGGGTGCCTGACCGCTCGCCATCTCCACAAGAGACTTAGGCCTATGCTCACTGATCCACGTTGCCAACGATTGGCCGGCCGCTTGACGCAAGCGTTCCTCCACACTAGGTGGAATGAATAAATAGTCATTCTGGTGCTCAAGGCTTGCTAGCATTTGCGCATGGCGCCGAGTGCTTTCTCCCTGCGAAAGCATTATCTTTTGTTGCTCATCGAGCGAGTTCGTAATGATGGTATCATCCGAACCGGGGGTTAAGCGTGGCGCGAATGGTGGATTCTCATCATCACGTTCAGGGAAGGACAGGGGGCAAGACGAGGTTGTACCTTAAACATGGGTGTATCGGACATTGTCCCTGCATCACCTGGGACACTAAAATTGCTACCATAGTTCAAAACCTCCCCCATTTCGAGGTATTCACTGAGAGTCTTTGACTCGTTAGAGATGAGATAATCGCGCTAATAGCTTTACGTTACCGTAATAAACCAAAAGTGCACTGAACTCGTGAAAGCTTAAAGTTCGATGAGAACGTTCGATTGAGACAAGGTTCGACTGACGTTTTAAGAAACGTCAGTCTGATGAGGCGGGATGTAACAGGGGCACACGTAGTTAGGTACCTGGTGCCCTGTTTCTTAGACACACGGATGATATCCCACTGAAAGAAATATAGAATATCTTATCGGTTTATAGGGGCTGATTGGTGTCAGCCACCAGATAGGAGAGATCTTAGTTGTACTAAATTAGGACATAATTGTCTGAATGAGGATTAAGATATTCTATAGGTTTAAATGTAAATAAAGTTCAGTTCCCCTTTTATCTTAAAGATAAATGCCTTGCGAGGCGTCTTCGGCCGTTGATTGCTGATCACTAAGAGTTAGCAGCACCTCCCTGAGGTAGCTAGTTACTCTTGAGCACTAGGTGCTGTCTATTCATTGAATCATTTGGCCCTCTAAAACAAGGACCATCAGCTTTACGCTTATTGACTCATTAAGTCTAGTTCTTTTGAACTAAGTTGCTCGTTGAGCGTAAAGTCTCCCACTGACTTAAGGAGCTGTGTAGCTCCTGTAAAATAAGAGCTTGCACATCTAAACAAGTTGACGACTGTTCCAGAGGATGGGTCTGGACACACTTCATAACGTAGTCATCTGGTTCTCAAAATGAAACTCGCACCTTCTGCACGATTGTTTTTTACAAGGGTGGAAAGACCAATCGCGTGCTTGTGCACCTTGCCAGAGCCTGAGATTACATTTTTACCGAGGCAAAGATAGAGGCTCTGTCACGTCTCCCTGCTACTATATCTTACCCAACGAGTCATCCACTTCCAAATCTTGTGTTGGTGAATCCGACACCAGAACTATATTTAATGGCGGACTTGTTGTTGGCGTACAACCATTCTTATCGAGAAGACTGCACGATGATTACTTTGATTTAGCTGATGACGGATTATGGAAGAATTTCTTGGAATATTATAAAATCCGCATGGAGAGCGGGCACTAAGCGTACACGGAGGCGGAGCACAAGTATTATCTTCGGGTGACAAGAAAAAGCTGGATTAACGTTGTTAACATTTTGTTCTGAAGAATGGAAGGAATTTTACAGATCCATGTGCCCGGCGTATGAGATGCCATCTCGATATGTTCTCTCTAATTGGCTCTTGGATGATGAGTGTGCAATGATCAAGCAGATTGTGGAGCGTTACCTGAACTACAACCCTGCAGGATCATTTACTATAACTTGCGACGACTGAACAAACATTAAAAAGGACCTCGTAGTCAATATTATGATTGCCACTCCAACGCCGATATTCTATAAGGCTGTGGAGACTAAAAAATAATTCTCATACTGGAGAAGACATGGCCGCTATTATATAGGAATGCCTTATTGCCGTAAGCGGGATGTTCGACTACACTGATTTTACGAGCCGTGAGATATCAGCTGTCATAGCCGATAACACCTCCGTAATGAAAAAGGCATAGAGAATTATCAAAAATGATTATCCAACTTTGATTTATATCGTCTGGCGCACACCTTGCATCTTTTTCTCAAGAATATTTTACGATATGAACCATTTACGTCAGTGGTTGGCAATTATCGAAAAGTGACTAAGCATTTTTTGAGTCACCATCACCCGAAGGCCATTCTTGAAATGTGCATGAAAGCAAGCAACGTTCAATTTAGAAAAACCTCAAAGATTTCGGATGGTACCAAATGGGGTTCATACTTTCGGATAGTTGATGCTGTCTCAAATGCAAGAATAGCCTTCCATAACCTTGTGTTTATCGCTAATGAAGAGGTACGGGAAAGGAATGCTTAACCGTGGGACAAGACCATTCTTTCACTCTTAAAGTCTGACGAGATATGGAATGACTGGCCATTCGGCCATCGAGTACAAGATCCTCGCAAAGTGACGTAACCACTTTGGGAAATGTTTTTCATCTGTTATCAAGAGCATTCGCTCAGGAACTATCCAGGATATTTTTGCATGAAAGGAGGGGCTCTCAGAGAAAGAAGAATAATGTACTGTCATTAATCGCCGAAATATTAAAGGAAAGTTACTACAAGGCAGGCTCGATGGTCGTTTCACAATGATGCATAGCGACGGAGATCTTCTTGCAGACTTGTTAGATCCCAGACACATGGATCAGAGCCTCTCGTCGAACCAGTAAATGCGTGCTAAGCAATTTCTTGAAAAGATTTAAAACGGAAACGAGGTTTTTTACGTCAAGGTCACCAATCAGTTCAATTGTGTTTAGTGCCGAAGTGAAAGTTTTCCGTTCCTGAGATATAGCGTCATATCGATAACCCTTCTCCTGATGCGGAAGTTTCTGCAGCTGATTGGTGGCTTTAACTTCTAAGACTCATCCCCATTAAGCTTTCCGCGCTGGGAAAGGTAAGGAAAGTTTAATTATTAAATTTTTTGATGTAACTTAGTTCTGTTTTAAATGTAGATTGCCATGAAGCTTTTGTCCATACCATCGTCAGCCGCCTCTGCTGAACGATGTTGGACAAACTTGGGCTCCATACACTTTATGAGAAGAAATCGCTTACTTGGATCGAGAGCAATGAAATTAGGCTATGTTTACATGAGCACGCAAACCATCAAGTGCATACAAAGATCCAGTAGGGCTAAACTCGGCTATCTACGACCACGAAAGAAGAAGAGTAGAATCGTCGTATCGTCTGTAGAGGTTTGAATCAGAGCCAATGGTGGAGAGAGAAATCGTACCCTGGTCGAAGCTCAAGATCTCGTGGAAATTGACGGGAACAAGGCTATAAACAGTCAGCGGTGTGAATTACGGAATATGAGCAACATTAGAAGACGACGGCGATGTCGACTTTGTTACCCAGACTGCTACTTTTGTCGTATCCGATGCGGTCGCACAATTAAGCTTGCATGCAGATATTGCTGATCGAGGAGAGGATAGCGATTGTGATGATGAAAGCAGCCCCGAGCAGTGAAGATGGCAGATAGCGATAGCTAGAGTGCCACATGCATAATCATAAACAAAGTATACTTGTCTACCAGATAGCAATGCGTCAGATTATTTTTTTGTTTATAAACGTTGGTTGCGATCATTGTTGTCATGCTATAATGCAGAAGATAGCCGTTACCGTTATTGTCTGCTGTCGAAGATGCTTGATGATTGAATGCTTTTGGAGCCAACTTGCAATAGAACCTGATAAATAGGTGTATGCATATATGGAAGTAGAAGCATGACAAACGATGACAGTGAAGAATGGTGGGGGCAAACATCTATAATGATTTAAGGATGTCTTGTAAAATAAAAGAAGGGTGAGGAACAAGAACATAGGAAAAAGGAGGTCGTAAATTGAATTCATTGAGTATCGAGGGCTGTATTGTTATAAATCAGCCACTATCAGCACGAAACAGATTGTTGCGATGCATCATAACTTGGGCCTTGAAATGCATTAATTATATCACAGTAGATACATCGTTCACTAAGCGTCCAACAACATGACCTCGTGACTTATCAGTTCTGTACACCCCAACGGCACTTGCTCTCTCCTGAGCTTGATGCAAATTCTTCAGGTAGTCTGCTCATGGGACATTCGTATGCACAGCCACTGGACACTCACGCGCACCTACACAAGATAATAGAACCACAAGCGACTCATTTAGTACATCGCAACTCTTCTTGCCGTATACACATTACCTTTCAGCACTTACAGTTGCAACTTGCGAATTAAGTAGCCTTTGTTACGTCTGCAGCGTTCGTCTTGACCACCGATCCGATAGCACCTCGTTATATCTAGTATCTCCTATAGAACGAAGACGCATAGGCACGACACATCGTAAAAGGAGTTATACTTGTCGCACCCATTGTCCAAAGGTCTGCAGGTCTCAACGACGCTGTCGGAGATGCAGTAGCCAGGCCTATAGCGTCCAAAATCTTTTGTTGACCATAACGATATTCTAAAAGTGTTTAGCCCCGTCCTTAAAGGAAATGTGATGAAATATGCCGTGGTCACTTATGGTCTATTGGCCGGTCAAGTGACCGCGGCATTCACTGATGTTGTACGATCGGTCAATTAACATCCCTGACTGCACCACATTCGTAATAGCTCAGCGATATCACTCGACTTTGAGCTTTCATTGAATGCTACTCCGCGTGAGACAGTAGGTAACTTATCAACAGATGGATGTTCTGCGTGCATGCAGAAAACGTTTTGTGATCCTGGCTGCTTGGCATCGACGTCGATTCCTACTTTTGTGCAGAGCACTATTCAGTCACAGCAACGATCCTACTGACCAGGGATGCGTATCGTCCACAGCCGCGCTGCAACCTGTTCGACGTCAGCGCAATAACTTACTGGGAGAGTATGCTTGTAGTTGCAACTGACAATACGGTAGTGCTTTTCGTCACACCCTAGATGACGCTTATACACGCAACCAAACACGGCTGACTGGATGAGTGCAATATGGTTTAGTGTTGAACACCCTTGGCTGTGTAGGCTGCAACTCCAGATCGAAACACTGAAGATTGTCCGAGATCCTAAGACTGTGCTCTGCATCTGCTCTTCTAGTTGGAGAATGTCGTTTGCGCTCTGCCAAATCAATGCAATAATTTTAGCTTACACGGTACCATGTACAATAATCTGGGGAACGAGGTAGTCTCCTTCCTATCGTCGCTCTTGTTTTTCTGTCAAGTCGGTAGGTGCATAGTGTTATCATAGATCCACAGTATCATCTGTCATCATCACGTGATAACAACAACAGTCAGCTGCTTGTGCTTCTCTTCATTTGCACCATCGCGTTGAGTTGCGTACCTCCCGAGATAATGTCAACTGTCTGGTCAAGCAGTCCATCCGTTGGATCAAGAGCCGACAACGATACTTTTTCAAGTAGACCGTCAAACCGCTGCTGATCGTCCAAGGTGGATAAATCCTGTAGCAAGTGCAACCGAAGCGTCGGGGATTAGACTAAGAGTCAGTACAATTCATCAAAGCCTGATCGTACGCTGACGCTGTTGAAGGAGACCATAGAATCCACGGCGCTATTCCACCCCTTCTGCATGATCGCTTGCCGCGCTTGGCGCTCCTTATTAGCCTCCAGCTCCTTCGTGAGCAACGCTTGGCCTGGCGATGGAGCTGAAGATAGTGTCATGCCCTGTTTGTCTCGCTCCTGTAGCATTAAACGAAGCCGTTGTTGGTGAAACAGCTCGTACGCAGACGCATGACCTTCTGTCATGATCATCTGGGACCGGGGAGTCTGTGATGAACCCCACTCTTCCCGTGGTGTGTTTAATTCTTTTCCTCCAGCAGCGGCTGCCGTAGTTGACGAAAATGGAAGGCCAGCATTTGGGGGGATGCTGGTTTCGTTTACCTCACCGCTTGGATTATGTTCGCTGCTGTCTGCAGCAAGCCCACTACTGGTCGATGACATTGAAGACTGGTTAGCTGTTCCTAATGGGGTTCCCGTTGCCCCAACTCGTGGATGGAGTGGCGCGCCGCTGAAACCTTGGTGCACGGCCGATACGTGCTGTGGAAGGTGCTGATACTGAGCACTTGCTACCGCCATAGCCATAGCCTGAGAAGAAAACGTTGGTGTCGAAGGCACAGATTGCATCGAAGATGTTATCTGGAGCGTATAGCAAAAGCGAACATTAGCTTTACCAACAAATCACTCCATACGATTACGCTACTACGATCAGACTTACTGGCATGGGCAAAGACATCCGCATTTGCATCTGGTTCGACGTAGGAAAACTCGTCGCCACCGCGTAGTTTGGCACTCCACCTATGCTCGGCTGCATGGTATATCCGGGTGGGCACGGATATGATGACGAAAGTTGCTGGTGTTGCAGCGAGGGGTGCGGTGGCAGTGGTATTTGTTGTGCTCGCATGTTCAGATTGTAGACACCCATTCCTCCCTCAGCCATCGCATACATGGCAGGAGGTTGTTGAATACTTGGCACGATAGTGCTCATCAGACGTCTAGGGCTGCCTGAAAATATCGCGTTGGCAGCATGCGCAGAAGAACTTGGGTGGAACCGTTGACTCATCTGGAAGTTGCGGATCGACACGGCCACCAGATCGTTTACATGCATCGCATTATTGGCTCCGCCAATGACCGTCTCCATATCAGGATGTAATGCTGGAGCCAACGCCTGCATACTCTTTACAACCACTGTGCTAGGCGTGCTTCCAGCCGAAGTACTCTCGCTAGTGCATGTTACAGCTGATTCGCCTTTCGTTTCTGACACCACTCCAAGCTTTGTCCTTACCGATTTGCTCAGCGCTGATTCGGTGGCTGCTGGAGTTGCTGAGGACCGAGCTTTTTGTGGAATAGGGCTGGCCTCAGAAGGCCTCAATTTTGGCCGATCCCTATCTGTTGATAAGGATGATAATGAAGTAACGATAGCTGTGTCGGGCGATGAGGCAGACGATATTTTTTCGTCTTTCGATGCAGCCCGTCGCCCCCGCATCAACGACTTCCAGCGAATTTTGACCGCATCTTCCGTTCGACCCTGTCGGTAGTGTACCAGAAGAAACGCCAACACAAAAAACATCCAGCAGATTTGGTGTAAGAAGCGACGTCTCATGATAAGTGAAAACTCAAGCAGTCAAAAAATCAAACCTTCAGCTGCTGTGCAATGATGGACCAACGGTTGCCCAACTTGGCTTGCATCTCAACAATGATTTTATCTTCGTCTTCAGTGTACGAGCTACAGTGTGTGCATTGAACAAGTGGTCAGTACTAATCTACGCCGACACCACAAGTATCAAGCGTACCCCTTGTTGATATTTGGATCCAAGTGGTTACACCAGCGCTCCCTGCATTGCTTCGAACTGAGTCGCACAAAGGATTAGCAATGTACTTATCAGTGCCATTCTATGAAACTCACGTTCGCCCAGGAATAAGCGAGGCAACTTGACCCCAGTTTTTCTTGCCTTCCGCCACCAATTCCCGCAACTTTTCGTCTTCTTCAGGAGTCCAGTGGCCCTAAAAGAACGAACATTGGCAATCATTAACGTCTTGATACTGTAAAGACTGGACCGCTAATCCACCCATACCTTTATCAAGCCTGGTTTCAGCACTTTGGTCCACCGCTGTAAACACTGTGTATGGTTTCGTCCGGGCACTTGGTCGGCGATCGCCTTCCAATTGCGCTCACCGCTTCTCTCAACTGCCAGCCTCAGCGATTCGTCCTCTTGTTTCGACCACCGCCTCGGATTGGACTTTTCCTTAGCAGGCGGCGCTTGCTTTACAGCGTTGAGTATTAAATGTGCTCGCGGGACGCCCATGCCACTCCCTTTTCGATCTTTCACCATCAGCTTTGCAGGTTGCGCTTGAGATCGTTGGAGTGATGACAGCGACTCATGCAGCGGTCCCAGCGACGGCGATGCAGCTGAATCTTCCTCCGTACCACTGCTTCCTTGCAGTGGCGAATGTATTACCGCCAGATCGCGCAACTGCTTGTGTCGTTGCGACGCCGGTGCTGGCAGCATCTTCTTCAAACTGTCAGTACGACTGCGTTTCTTCGGGCTCTTGGTTGGTAGTCTGGGCCTTACTTTGCTCCTAATGTCTCCGTCATCATCATCGTCTTCCTCCTCCTCCTCTTCCATCTCGTCCCGTGCGTCACTCGAAACCTCGTGCGTCGCAGCAGACGACGCGCCGCCGTGCGCCAAACTGGAGATCGACGTCTGGTCCAGAGCTTTGCCCAGTTCTTTCAGCCTGGTAGAGCTCACGGGCGAACTCTCCACGATCGTCATGTGTTCCGACTCGTCGGTTTCGAGTCTGCCACACTGTCAGTCGAGCGTCACGCGTGAGATGCAGTAGATGAGGCCAAGCGACGTTGACACAGCGTGGGCCAGCAAAAGGAACGAGCTGGATCGTGGTGCCGCCTGCTGGAAGACTTTGTATTGTTAAGGGTGCACGCCCTTGCGCTGGCGAAGCTGCGCGATTCTCGAGAGGGGATCAGGATGAGCGAGCAAAAGGGGGCGCAAACGACGATTGCTCAGGCGAGTACCGTGAGGACCCAATCTTTTGGTTACGGACATTGGTACTGGTAATCAAATAAGTGTAAAAGCAGACAAAAGAGTCCAAATGTACCGTAATCATGAGAGGGTGTATACTGGAAGTATACTCGACGTGCATCGATTCTTACTTTTGATACTTTCTTCTACTTTCAGCATTATGTTTGTTTTTCACTGCTCTAATTTTGACATCTGGAGGGTTAATTATTAGCTTCATTGTAAACTAAAACATCAGCACCTCTAGTGGAAACCAACCCTTAGATGATCGATAACGACGCTGCCCGAACCGACGTCAACGAGCTCAGTAGCCGTGCCGCCTCTCGACAACCAGCATCAGGGTCTTGCTGTTGAACGTGAGAAATCCATGGAGCTACTTGTCGAATCAGTGTATCGCCCATTTCCCGCTGTAGCAGCGCGGGTGGTACTACCAGCAGCACGCGGCTCAGACCAAATAACACTTGGCGACGCACCTCAGCGTTCGCGTTAGCACGTTCGCTCCAGCAAAACTCCAGCAAACACTTGGCCATTGCCGTTGTCTGAGGCGCGTGTCCGCTGCACTCGACAAAACTTGAGAGGGTGTGCAACAAATGAGCCAGGAACGTTTGCTCCAGTTCGCTGCGAGACTTTCCAGTTGTGTCGGAACCGGTGGAGTGTTTCTGCACGTACTTGACGTACCCAAACAGCAGTGGCGAGAAGAACTCTAATGCGAGCGGCGCAAATGCGTTTCTTTTTGCTATGGCCAGCGGGTCACGCCGATAGCCCCAACGACGTGTTTTCAGACTTTGCATCGTGCGCGTCGTCAAGTTGCTTTCAATCTGTTCCTGAAGCAGTGTTTTGGGCAATTGTGGGCGCTGGTAGCCATCGCCTCTTTCGGAAAGTTCTTGAGCAGCTGAAGTCATCGCCTGGAGCACGTCAATGCGTGACTGTAGCAACTGTTCTCGCTCAAGCGCCTGGCTGCACATGTACGGCAAAGTTTGAGTCGGCGCTAGCGCGCATACCGTAGCAAGAGCTTGCGAGCGCAGCATGGTGAATTGTGGTGTACTATACTTGTCTTCAAGTCGTAGCAGTGCCTGCACGATCCCAAATGCTTTGTCTTTAAGATCACGAGGCTGACGGCGGAGCAAAGCTTCGGCCTCATTTAAAGCAGCTTCTGTTTTCTCGCGATCATCATCCGATAAAAGACCGGCAGTCAGGTCCCTTAGATATAGAGGCCGTTTAGTCATCAAATCTTCCTCGTCATCCTGCAAGTCATACGCTTCCAAGCTCACGTCAGAGTTAGCGTCTTCACCATCAGAGCTAACCTCCGATTCGCCATCAACGTCCGACGCATTTGCACCATCATCGTCACCAAGCACCAGCTCGTCCGGGTCAAGGATGAACGCTTTGGCTGCTTTTTGTTTTCCCGGTTGCTTTTGTCCATTTCGGCTCGTTTTGTTGTCACTTGTGCCAAGCGCAAATGAAGCTCCACGTGCTTCTTGGGCGAAACATGAACCCGGACCCAACATGTCTTTCTCGAGCTCGGCAGGTGGCACGGTGCATCCATAAATTGCTACAGGGTCTTCGCAATCAAGGCCAAAATTCAGTGGCTTTTCAGACGCGATTATGTGAGATAAGCTCTCTCCGACCCGCATGCCTAGCACTCGTACACGCTCGAGAGAATGACTCATGTGGTCTTGGACTCCTTTGCATATCTTTGTGATCCAGTCTTGCTTCGTGAATCCTGCTTTTCCACTGTGCCCCGCAAATTTTTGCATACTGTAGCGAAGAAAAAAGCAAACTGAAGCATTCACGGTGTAATCGGTGCTAATCGCAAAATCGCTTTGACTCCACCGCGCGAGTACCATGTCAAATAAAGCTGCCAGCGGGGTTTCGCACAAGTCGCCGCTACACTGCGCCACTACGTCAACTAATACACGCCAGAACAAAAAGTCGTCGATCGGTCTTCGCAGCAGCAACTTGTGCACGACAACATACTGGAAGTGCTTATTAACGCACAGCGCCGGAGGAATCTGGGCGAGAAGCCTGTACTTCGAGTGTGCTAGCGCCTCTGGTGCGCTCAAAGAGCTGGAACATTTTTCGTTCGAAATGTGGAGCAAAATCTGCTCATGGCATGATTCTGGAAGACTTTCAAATAAAGTCTGATTGATCGGTGCAACAGATGAAGTGCCAATCGATCGCAACCAGCTTTGAACGAGCATGTGAGTTTGGCCGATGCGCGTCAGCTTGTCGACGAACATGCGAAAGGTTTGCAGTCGACAGACAGGTACCTTTGGCTGGACAAGGCCGTGGAATAAGCCATCACAGAGAGTCGGAAAGTACCGACGGGGGCGAAACGCAGCTGGGGTGTTGCGCTGACAGCGATTGAAGATGAGATCTGGACGGTTGTCGAAACAGTAAGCACCCACATACCTTCAGTTAGACAGATTAACAAAAATTGATAGCACATGATGTACATTACCTGGTAGAGATGAAAGCTGCGACACGAGCACCTGCTGACCGATCACATCCGTCCTGTCGCCACCCGTTGTTGTTTGCTAGCATGGAGAAAATAAGTTGGCCGCATCACAAATTGAGTACGTCAGCTACAAAACTCGCACACCTGCTCTTGCACCAGCATTTCAGTCACGATATCTTGTATGCCACCGCTCACAACAGCTTTCTCCAGCAGCCGGACACACTGCGTAGTCGAGACCTCTGCGTCTTCATCCACCGTTCTATTCGGTCCGTCAGGGACTTTTTGTATGGCAGAAAGCGTCGAAACCAGAGCGCCAATTGCTCGGCTAGAAGGAACAACTTTTCGATCGAAAAATACGTCGAATGCTCGCTCTCGGTCTCGCTCCGAGAAGCAAATTTCGAGATGAACGGCCACGAATTTCAGCAGAAATGACACTACTTCACGATAGAAAAAATTCAAGTACAAGTCCTGCAAGACGGCAGTCAGTTAAATCGTAAGACCCAATAGGGTGATCATATCCCAGTACCTTCCTCGTCGACGTAAACTGCTCTGGGTTCAGCAAGGGGGCAGCCAGATCTCGCAGCTCCTTCACTGCTGCAGGAACATCGTACCTCTTCTCGGCTTCCCCAACGCCCCGCTTCTTGGCATCAATGAACGCGCGCAGCGACTGCACCTCGGCACTCCGGTGGTCGGCTGTCATTCAGACCTTGATTGGCAAATTTTTAGTACCGTGTGTGAGGATCTAATTCGTAGCTTTCAAGGCTTCACATTTGATCATCCCAAAAACATCGGCCAAAACTACAATTGGTCCAAAAAAGAAATTTGGAAATGTGACATTAGCGTTCTGATTGGATGCCCTCTAGCTGCGTGGTGGAAACCGAATCGATAGTTCCTGACAAAGTGCGTGCGATCCACACGCCATCTTCCATCATCTACATATCGTTCGTCGTTGATGCAATGGTACGCATACAGGCGGTGGAGAGAACTCTTCTACTGCTTGTGATCGAAACCATATCGACAGACAAGCAGTGCGAACGTGCAGCGATTTGACGACGGAAGAGGCACAGACGGCTTGTAACGGGGCACCCTGAAGCTTGTACTGGTGACAGTACAAGCTACTTATTCTGATGACAGAATAAGGCGGTGCCTCGTAACTTCACGTACACTCGTACGTGCAGAGGAAGACGGTAAGAAGAAGCGAGTACTTGGTTAAAGTAAAAAGTAGAACTGTATTTAGTATAGTTAATGTCTGCAATAAATCACTATTTATCCTCATCTAACTATGTCTGAATACAAATGTGTAAATCAACTATCTGCTCACCACTCATTGCGCGCGTCTGTCGTGGCGCGTCTTCGTATGTTGATATAATGGCCTATATCAACCAATTAGGATTTACTCGTAAGTGCTACAGAATATTTGTCCTTATGACAATATTCTGAGAATATAACTCTTATAGTTATATTCTATTAACAATTTCTTATAAATTGTTATGTAACGATTCACCCCGTTACATCACCCCCCCCTTAACCATCAGTCACTTTAGTGACTGATTGACTAAATGGATACTCGTCCCAAATCATTTGGGACAGGGTTTGCACTTGTTGGTTCAAGTCCACTCTCCAACATTTCATCGCATGGTTAACAAGCCCATGCGATGCGCGAGCAAGGCTGCCGAGAGCGCGTCCGCACGTCTCTGTGCGGACGCCGAAGCAGAAACCACAGCAACTGATATCTCATCGGTTGCTGAAGCGACTCAGCCTGTGTCACTTGGTGATGCAGGCGCTAGTCATGAAGACACTCATGTCTTCACAGAGTATGAGCTCGGTGTCTCATACTCTCCCGATACGGAAGACGGATCCGTATCGACGGCGATCGAAACCAAGCCGCCTGCCAAGCGTGGCATGGACGATGCTATGCGTCGTAGCATCTTTGGTTCATCTGATGAATCAGATAAACCATCGCCGAAGCGAAGGCGCTCGAGGTCGCGAGACTCGTGCGCTAACAGTGGTGTCGGTTCTCCTATGGACACCACTTCGCAACGAGGTGCCAGTACTTCTGTCGGCACATCGCAGGAAGAGCGGGATCGCAATGTCTTGCGTCTCGCTCCCGAGAAGAAGGCATGGATGCCTCCAAAATCTGTCATGGATCACTTGTCGGCGACGACAAGTGATCGCTATCGAACACGGTTGTTCGATTCGTCAAGGATCCATCACCTTGACCCCAGTACGAAAAACTATCGCGCTGAACATGAATTCTTTATCGATGCTTTCTTCAAACATCGATGGTACAGTGGGAATCACAAACGTGATGGTCCCTCACTGCTTCAAGCGTGGAACGCCTACATCCATAACCTCGAGGATGTAGGTCGTGACGCTTGGAACGACAAACTTATCAAAGCTCGTGATAAGTTTGAAAAGCGAACCTCAATAGGTGCACGCTATAAGCTGCATCGTCTGTCAAGGGAGAAGGGATTACCCTGCCTCTCTTGGGGAGACTCGTGCCCATGTTGTGTGAACAACTCTGCACGAGCACCTAAGGAGGCTTACCTCCTTACCAGCCCGTGGTGGCTCGTACGTATCTCTATTGAGATGTACGAAGGGATTGACAACCTGAAATCCCTTTACGACCGTGCCGGGAAGACTTTCTCCGGCGGTCCTTCTGCGGCTCAGGATGTGCCGCGTCGTACTGCTCAACCAGACCCAGTACGTCGATCATCAGTTGGGAGCGGGGCTCCCAAGAATCCCAGGACGGGGGATAGCCGCGCCACCGGACGAGATAACTCGTCCAACGTCCGTTCACGTCGCGGTGGTTCAACAGCTGCTCAACTAGATAGCGCTGGCCACCACGAGAGTCCTCTAATGGAGGTGGAGGAGAAGGAAAGACGCTCTCCACACTATCATGTGGATCGGTGTGTTCCTGAGAGCTTCTTTGATCGCGTAACGCATGGGTTACGCGACGATCTCGAACATGAGCGGAATAGGCGTCTCCAAATGGCGGACACTGCCTCGAAGCATCGAGCTGAGTTTGCCTTTGCTCAGCTTGAGAACGAGAGATCTCTGATATCTCTTCGTGACGAGCTAAGAGTAGCTCGTGGGATTGTTGATCGGTCTCGGGCTGAGATAACTGCTCTTCAGACCCTTGTTGATGCCCACCATCGGGAGCACAAGGCTCTCTGCGAGATGCTTGAGCGCAAGGGCGTTCTTCATCGGAAGAAGCAGCGTACTGATGGTACGGCTTAAGCCGACCAGCGTAAAACGTGGGATGCGTTCGTATCTTACGTGGTAACTCGATCGTGTATGCATTGCCTAGGCGGTGCAATACACGAAATGGGCCGATGTACTTGGGTAGTAGTTTACTGCTACCCAAGTTAGTCACTACATGCTTTGGTAGATTAACCGTAGACAGTAGTACTAAGTCACCTTGATTAAATAAAAGAGTGTTTGCCCTTCCATTCTTGTCGGCGTTTTGCTTTTGCTTATCCACCGCTTCGGCGATGGAGTCTTGCACAAAACGGACTACCGTTTCACGAGCCAGTATGAACTCATCTGATGACTCGTTAGCTTCAGTGCGCTGTGAGCGCACTGCAGCAACATCAACCTTTTCTTCAGTGAGGGCTTTTGCACTCTCACTGGCATCATCTTCTTCAGTGAGGGCTTCCGCACTCTCACTGGCATCATCTTCTTCGATATCGATGTTATCGATATCGGCATCAAACGCATTGACCTCTTCGTCAGAGCGTGATGAGCGTCAACCAAATCGGTTTTTGCTCGCGCGAGTCCCCCCCCTTAAACCAGAGTTACACTCTAGTAAGGTGGGTACACGTGGATGGCGCAAGCCATTCACGTAAAACGGTGTATGTGTCGTGGACGCATGCACCGAGTTGTCAATGGCAAACTCTACCATTGGCAAAAACTCACTCCAACTCTTAAAGGAGTGTACGTATCCTCGAAGTATCTCTTCAAGGACACGATTGGCACGTTCCGTCTGACCATCTGACTCTGGATGATCAGATGTTGACATCTTCAAGCGCGTTCCGAGTGATTTGAACACGGAACGCCAGAAATCAGCAGTGAATCGTGGATCTCTGTCTGATACGAGTTCACGGGGCAACCCATGAAGTCGGAAGATGGTGTCAATAAATACACAAGCACAGCCACTTGCCGTGATTGTCTCTGGTACAGCCACAAGGTGTACCATTTTGCTGAATCTGTCAACAAATACGAGAATACCCGTATTCCCGCGTGCGTCTTTGGGTAACCCGAAGACGAAATCCATTGAGATGGATTCCCAGCACTCAGCCTGAACCGGTAGAGGCTGTAAAGGTGCACGCAGTGAAGGACTTGACTTCACTCGTTGACAGACTTCGCATGCGCGAACATACTTTCGCACAAACTGATACTGGCGGGGCCAGTAAAAGTCTCGACTTACCGTGAGATATGTTTTCTCGCGGCCACGATGTCCTCCTATAGGAGCATCGTGATACTCGAACATGATCCGCAAACGCAGATCAGTATCATCTGGAATGACAACACGTGGTGTGTCACCAGAAACGGCTGTATAATACAGTAAACCGTTACGAGTAGTGTATCGATCTAATGCAGATCGATACGCAGGCGACTATCGTTTCAACGATTCTCGGGATGGTTGGGAGAGATGTGTCAACAACTTCACAATCTCACCATCTTGGGCGTATGCCCGCCTCACATCATCATGCAACGTTGAAGATGGTACTGAGGACGTCATAATCGCAACAGTGGCTGTCTCACTGTTGGGTTTCACGACTAATTCAAAGTCGGGACGACGTGAGAGTGCATCAGCGACGACATTAAGTCGTCCCGGTTTGTACTCTACCGTAAAGTTGTATTCCGCAAAGAATGACAACCACCGCGCCATTCGTTGTGAAAGGTGCGGGCTGTTCACTGCCGTGCGTAATGACGCATGGTCAGTGTAAACAATGAAGGGTCTATCTCCTAATAGATAGACTCTGAACTTCGCGAGTGCATACTTCATGGCAAAGCGACTGATATCAGACGACGCGTTCAACGCCTTCTAGGTCGTACTGCATTAATGCACAGCCGATTGCGAAATCGCTGGCATCACAGACCACATGAAATGGCCTGTCTTGATCGGCTATTGCTAGGACTGGGGATTGTATCAAGCTCTGCTTGATACCATCAAAGGAGCGCTGACATTCAGCGTTCCATAACCACCTCTCGTTCTTTTTCAACAAACGAGAGAGGTTTACAGTCATCTCGGCGTAATTGCGTGAATACTTATGCAAATACGCCGCTAGCCCAAGGAATTTTCGAAGACCTTTGACATCAACCGGCACAGGCCAGTCGGTGATCGCCTTGATCTTTTAGGGATCAGGACGTACACCGTTCTTACCAACGATGCACCCAAGAAGTGGTATTTCGCTTGCTGCAAATATACACTTCTTGAGGTTAGCATACAATTGATGCTTTCGCATGATTGTAAGAACTTGTCGGACGTGGTACCTGTGAGCCTCAACGTCCGACTTTCCATCCATAGCTCGACTATGGATGAATACGTCATCGAAATAACTCGGCGCGAATTCTCGTACTGGTCTCAACAGATGTGATACACATCTGTTGAACGTGGAAGGGGCATTACTAAGCCCTTGTGGCATTACTAGCCATTCCCAGAGCATGCCGTTGGGCGTGCTAACTGCGGTAGAG